AAAATGAGAAATTTGTGGGTTTATTTGATTTGGGTCTTAAATGATAGGATTGAGACTTAAGGGAGTGTGGGTGTAATAAAAAGATATAGGGGTATAAATAGGGGATGTGTGTGTAGGGGATAATTGTATCTCCCCTTTTCTCTCTCTCTCTCTCTAGCCGACTCCCTCCCTCTCCTTCGGCTCTCTCTCTCTCCACTCCTCCACTCTCAAACTCACTCCCAAACTTAAAACCCACCAAGATCCTCCATCAAATCGACTTCCTCAAGTGTTCTAGGCCTCGGGTTGTGTTCGTTCAAGCTCGGAGGAGGTGTATTTCGCTTGGTTTTGAAGTCCTTGGAGCTAGGGCTTACTCGAATCTCGTGGGTCTCGATCTTGGCTTCGAGGTAGGGATTTCTTACTCACTTTATATGTTTATGAGTTGGTTTCGTGCTTTAATCGAGTTTTGATCGTCCTCCGTCGTTCATTTGAAAATGATGTAGGACAAAAATTGAGAGTTTTTGTATTTTATTTTTATTGTTTTAGAATAAGATTTTGACTAAGAATATTTTCGTTTAGGTTAGAATTATTAACTTTCCGTATTCAGTTTGATTTTGATTTCTACCTTTATTAGGATTCTTGGTCTACAAGAATTAGGATTTTATTTTAATTAATTAGGAAATATCTTTTATTTAATGCCGCTTGTTTTGGCATGATTTATTATTTCTTTTATAGTAGGATTTCTAGGGTTAGGGTCTTATAAATAGGACTGTAACCTATTCAATTATTGATCTTTTAAAGCTTTTTCATCAATAATATTCAGATTTTTGTCTTTCTTTCTTGTGCGCAAGATTTGCTCGTTGCGACGGGTTGTTTATCTCGTTTGGACTAGTACGCTAACTAGTCTCTCGTGAATTCCGCTGCGTCAAGTGGTATCAGAGCCAGGCTTTTCCTGGTTCGATGGCACCAAACAAAGTTGAAGACACACCCATTGACGTTGGTCGTGGTGAAGGATTTAACAGGACTCGCACCAAGGGATTTGCCCATGTTCAACCTGTTAAACACAAAGTTGATAGGAACCGCGTTGAGGGATTTGCCCACAACCAACCTATTAACCAAAACGTCTCCAGAGGATATTCTTATTATCATTACGATGGTAGGAATAAATTTGAAGGCAAACTATTCAAAAACCATGATGATTATCAGTCGACAAAGCGACAACCAAATTTCAGGTATTATGATAATTTGCCAAAATTTAGTGGTCTTGAATTTTTTGAAGATCGTTTGGATTGGATTCTAGACATCGAAGATTCCTTTGAGTATGCAAAAATTCCGACAGAACAAATGTGGAGGTATTTGTTAGTGAAGCTTACAGGTCCAGCGCTACGATGGTGGCTAGATCTGCAATTTCTAAGAGATCGATTGGGCAAGCGTCGAATTTATGAATGGTACAGAATTAAAAAACGTATGATAGAAAGATTTTTACCATGGAATTATGAGCAATTGTTGGAGGAAAAATATAGGCCAAAACAGTATCATGCAGAACAAATTATTGTAGAAGTCGTGAGGGAGGTCAAAATTGAAGTTGAAGATCAAGACGAAATTGACATCGATGCTTGTGTGCAAGAGGATACTGAAATTGTTTCAGATGCTGTTGTGGAGGAACAAAAGAATATTGCATTGGAGGTTTGTGCGTTTGGGCTTGATGAATCACCCACAATGGAGTTGACTGCAACACTACAAGAAAATATGGCTGTTGCTGAAATCCGATTTTCTGACAAAGGAGTGCCAACCAACTCTATAATAAATCAAAGTCTAGAGAACCAGCAACTACAGCCTAAGGTTCTAGTTGTTGATTTTCTTGGAGTGCAGCAATTTGATTGGGTTCTCAATATTCCTCTAGTGAATTTTGTCAACAAGTTAAAGCATGCTGAGAAACAATCTTTGCAAATACACTTTTCATTGAAGTTTTATTTCAAGTTAAGAAAGGAGTTGAAGTATTTTAAGTATCTGTTTCTTTGGCATGGAAGATGGCAGATTCCCAACGAGAACTCGAGGTTGAGTTCTTTTGAAGAAAAGGAGACTGATGTAGGACAAAAATTGAGAGTTTTTGTATTTTATTTTTATTGTTTAAGAATAAGATTTTGACTAGGAATATTTTCGTTTAGGTTAGAATTATTAACTTTCCGTATTCAGTTTGATTTTGATTTCTACCTTTATTAGGATTCTTGGTCTACAAGAATTAGGATTTTATTTTAATTGATTAGGAAATATCTTTTATTTAATGCCGCTTGTTTTGGCATGATTTATTATTTCTTTTATAGTAGGATTTCTAGGGTTAGGGTCTTATAAATAGGACTGTAACCTATTCAATTATTACTCTTTTAAAGCTTTTTCATCAATAATATTCAGACTTTTGTCTTTCTTTCTTGTGCGCAAGATTTGCTCGTTGCGACGGGTTGTTTATCTCGTTTGGACTAGTACGCTAACTAGTCTCTCGTGAATTCCGTTGTGTCAGAAAAGCTGTCAAAAAGTGCAAAAATCGCCCAAGGATCGATCCCCAAGCATGAGGGATCGATCCCCAAGCATGAGGGATCGATCCCGCTTTTCAAATCTGTCAAAAAGTGCAAAAATCGCCCAGGGATCGATCCCCAAGCATGAGGGATCGATCCCCAAGCATGAGGGATCGATCCCGCTTTTCAAATCTGGAATTTTAGCTTGGGGGATCGATCCCCATGAGAGGAGGGATCGATCCCTCCCCTCTCTGGAAGTTCTGCTCGCTTTCTGGGTTTCAGCCCAACTTCAAACGGCCGTAACTTCTTCGTCCGATGTCCGATTCATGCAAACTTTATATCAAATCGAAGGTCTTGAAGTCAGCTTTCATTTGCCGCCAGAATCATCCTTAGACTCTTAGTACACAGAAAGTTATGGTCATTTAAGTAGAGGTGTGTCAGTCTGCCGAAGTTTGTGGCGATCCCTAAGGTTGTTCTCGTTCCGTGTTGTGATTCCCTATATAGTTAAAACATGTTTTAAGTTACTCTCGAGCATGATTACTTGTGTCTTAATGACTTGTTTGATCTTGTCTCTTAGCACTCATTAGAGCATAATATCAATGACGTTGGTTAGGGAAATGCACTGCAAGGTTGATAAGAGCGTCATGGACTATAAGGGGTAATGTGGTGGGTGTTATGGGTAGACACGAGCTTGTCTAGTGATCCGATGGGTAGTATTGTGACTCGTATCCTCGTGCCTCGTCTTGTTGAGCTCCCTAGGTTCCCTTGGCAATCGTTCTATAAGATTCTCGTTTAGAACCTAGCGGGTGGTGTGTCGAGAAGTCAATTGTGGTTTCGATACGTAGAGAAGGACGTTGTGATAGACTTAGAGAAATAACGTGAACTTAAGTTAATTATCAATGTACGATGTGACATGTTTACGAGTTTGTATTACAGTGTGAGTTTGGGAAATGTTACCTGCTTGTACATTGAACGATGACTTATATGTGTGTATGCTTGAATTGAGAATTTACATAAAGGGCCCGCAACGCAAGGTGTGGTAATGCGGAAATCCAGGTGGAGAGAATTCACTGTCACGCAAGGGGTGGTAACACAGTTGAATGTCTCTCCAGGATGAAGAGAATTTTGATTGATTTTAGAAATTTATGTTGAAGTTTGGATTGTTTGTTGCTTGGGATCGTGGATGTCGAAAAAGAGAATGAACGGTTGATTCTATTAAGTTTTTATTAAAGAAAGGATTTTGGATTTTGAAAAGAGGATTTTTACTAAAAATCCTCCGGTATTCTTGAGCGAATCAACGGATCCGGTATTTGGGCACAAATCAACGGACTCCGGCATTCAAGCTCGAATCAGCGGAGCTTGACCTGTGATGGTCTTGGGTTTTCTCTAAATTGTTTTGGAAATCAAAAAGGAAAGTTTTATGAAATAAAGCTCTATGGTGAATGGTATGAAATGAGGAAGTGGTTTGTGGCATTCATTCGAAAAGTTATGAGATGGTTGAACTATTGTTGTTATTTGTTTGGCTGATGTGAGTTTAAAAGCTGCTTCTAGTCGACGTGTTGATGGTTAGGGTTATCTCTAAGATGTCCGAAATCCCGAAGTCTAATCGTCTGTTCATTTTGGTAACCCCTCTTGTATCTCATGTCCTTTCATTGAAACTCATTCACTCTTATTGCATGTTTCATCGCATTTACATATACCTTGAATATAGATTTCTCTACTGGACTAGTGTAGCTCAACCTATCATTTTCAGGTACAAAGCAAGGAAATTTGGCATGGCGTGCATCTCATACTTGTTGATCATGGGTCACAGAGGTATAAAAGAGGAGTTGAATTTGCATTTAATTTGAAAGTAGTATTCAGAAGAATGATTAATGAAAATTGTAATATTATTTTGGTATTTGTATAACTTGGGGCTTCGAGCCGGGATTGTAACTTTTAAATTTAACTTTGAGAACAAGGGAAAATATGTCATTTGGGTATTATCGGTACTTCGGTGATGATATTATTTATTGAAAATGATTATTATTTACGTTAAAAATCGAGGGCGTGACAGAATGATCGCACTCAAAAGAGAGATGAGAGAAATAAAGAAATTGAACTCCTTTTTGAGAAAAACAAAGCTTTGACTACGAGCACCAAATCTAAGGGTAAATCAGAGGATGACACACAGACAGGGACCCAGGTGTTGGATCATATTCTTTTCATCCAACGGCGACCTAGTGATCGTTCTGGACTTGGTTATCATGCAACGTCTTCAACTCCGCCTATAGGAAGAACACTACAACAAAATAGGTCAAAGACAAGGAAAATTTTTTGTCGGCAATTACATGATTTTCGTCGTCCCCGTTCGTCGTTTTTTGTTGGACGAGAAAGACCGACGACGAAAAAAAAATTTCGACGGCCTTTTTTTGTTTTGGCGACGAATAAGTTTCGTTGGCGTTGGTTTTTTTTGGCGACGACGATTGTGTTTGCAGTGAAATTTTTTTTCCACCCTTCTGCTCGCTTTTTTTGCTCCCAGTGGGTTTCGAACCCATGACCTCGCATCTACAATACCCAAGCCCTTACCACTACACCAACACACCATTTATTACTAGAAGACTAATATTTATTATATATACTATTTCTAATTCGTTTTTTTTTTTCCGAAACCACCACCACATCACCACTACCACCACCGTGCCACCACCACCACTATACCACTACCACCACCGCCACAATCACCACTCCGCCACCACCACAATCACCACTCCACCACCACCACCACCACCACCACAATCACCATTCCACTACCACAACAACAATCACCGCAACTACCACCACAACATCACCACTACACCACCACCACCATTCCTACAAATTCACCTAGGCCACCCCACCACCTGCCACCACCGCCAATGGATAACTATCGAAATTTTTTAAACTAAACTATGTATAATATATATTACCTTTTTATGATTAAATTTTAAACTAAACTATGTATATTTTATTTAATATGTATATTTCTATTTATTTTTTGTGCTAAATAATATTAAAAAATTAAAAATAATCAGCCAAAAAATTCGGTCAATGCCGACGAATTCTAAAATTTTGTCGCTAAAAGCCAACCTTTGTCGACGAATTTTTTTTCCTTGCTAAATAGCTCCCTATGACGACGAATTTGGGATTTTCTCGCCAAAAATTTGCATTTGGCGACGAAATTATTTTCGTCGCCAAAAACTAAGCCTTCAACGACGAAATTTTTTTCCGTAGCCAATAGTGCCCCTTTGGCGACGAAAATAACTTTCGTCGCTAATTTTCGTCGCCATAGACCAACTTTGTTGTAGTGGAAATAGAACTAATCGTCAACGTCTTCAATTCCGGAGTCTTTGTGTATTGACAATTTCGTTTGACAAAACACATACTCCCTCCGTCCCCTTTTTAAAGTCCAGTATTTCATTTTGGATTGTCCCTTAATATGTGTATTTTGTAAAATTAGTGAGTAAAAGTTGGTACATTTTCCATTTTGCCCTTAAAAGTATATTTCATTTTGAAAAGTTAGTGAATAAAAGTGTAATAATAATGTCTCCATAGAGGGTAAATAGGAAAAGTTGATGTGAAAGGTGTAAGGGGAACTTAATTAGCCATCCTTTTTACCCTACTTATTTAGGTGCTCATCCTAATGTGTTTAAATACTTATCTTTCCATCCTCAAATTCAATTAAATCCTAAACTACCCTTTCTTTATCCTAATTTTTCAAATCTTTCTCCCTTTTTTCTTTTCTAATTATCTCAATTCTCTCTCCTCTTTCAAATATTTCTCTCACCTAATCTTTTGAATTTTTCTCTCTCCTAATCTTCTCTCTCATATTTTTATTCCTCTAAAATCTAAAAGGAAAGTACGACTCTTACAAAAACGAATGTGTAAGCCGAAAAAACATGGCAAAACATGATCAATTCACAAAATATGGCAAAACCTTATCGAAGTAGATGAACAAAAGAAGATCAATTAAAAAACATGACAAAATCGGAAAACATGGCAAGTTTTGAGAAGTGTAGATTTCGATCGAGGTAGATGAACAAAACATGACAAAAATAAGAAAATATGACAAATTTTTTAAAGTGTAGGTTTCGATCGAGATAAATGAACAAAACATGATCAAATAAAAAACATAACAAAAAGCAGAAAACATGACAAGTTTTGAGAAGTGAAGGTTTCAATCGAGGTAGATGAACAAAACATCATCAATTCACAAATATGACAAAAAACGAAAAGCATAATACCTAAAACTGATATTCCGGCAACGGAATCCAGTAACGGCGGCGATTAAGAGGACGGAAGCGATGTGACTCGACCTTAGAACCTCGACCATTCATGACTGTTTTGATCCCCACCGCTAGTGGCTCGGCTGCACGCCAAAGATTGGGTGAATGTTGTGGCGGCCATACATGGTTTCATCAAAAGGGATTTGGACGAGAAGATTTGGATTTGGAAGAGAAAATTTGTGGAATTCTATTCTGAAATAGGATTTTGCCTAATTCCTAAAATTGAGGGATGGGATACGTGGTATATGGGGAAACATCTAGGACTAATCCTATTTGAAAAGGAAACGGGAAACGTAAATATAGGAAATAATAGGAAGACACTATATATATTAATATATGGATAAGGGTATAATGGGTAATAATGAATTTTGAGGATGGGGACATAATTATTTAAAACTTGTTGGATGGACACCTAAATAAGTTGACTAAAGAGGATGCTTATTTAATTTCTTCAAGGTGTAATGATGATGTTTTCTTAATAAGTTGGAGTTACGAAGCGGGACACTTAAAAAGGGACGGAGAGAGTAATTTTTATCGAGTTGTAATTTTATTATTTTTAATAAGCTAATGAGTCTGTATAGAATTAGAGTGGAAGGAATCATTATTATTTGTATTTGAGAGTGAGCGTTTTGGATAAAAAAAAAAGGAGGTCGACTACAATGAGACGGTTATTTGGCTAAGACGGATCAATCGGTTATCGATCGGCACATTCTATTTTGTAAAGAAAATCAACGTGAATAAGAGGTCTATTTATGAACTTATTATTTACTTCCTAGGTTTGGATGCTTATATATAAACATGCACGGTGAGAACAGGGTGTGGCGACTGTTTCCATGGTACTACAAACATGCACGGTGATAACAGTGTGTGGCGACTGTTTCATGGAAATTGAAGCAACAGGTATTTTTGAGAGCTGTTTTTATTAGGTCTATTGGAGGGCTTGTAAACTCAAGGTCATTGGCGATCAAGATTACTGGATGTAGTGTACGTATGACTCGGCAGGTAGCACTTAAAACGTTGTGAAGATTTACATCGTTTGGATAGGTATATTTGTAACTGCACAATGATCCTTCCCGTGGTTTTTACCCATTCAGGGATTTTCCACGTATATCTCTGCGCTGTGGGATTGTTTGCTTGCGTGATTTTTGCTGGTAGAGTAACTTAGTGATTCGCATTCATACGTTTAGGGTTTTTTTATGGATTAATAGGGAACCCTGTTTTTTCAGTTATCATCGTGAATTCAAATCCACTGTCGTTTGATGATATTTTTTTCTTCAATTTTCTTCTGGGAAATTTTTCGCTATCGCAGGTGACGCAGCGGAATTCACGAGAGACTAGTTAGCGTACTAGTCCAAACGAGATAAACAACTCGTCGCAACGAGCAATTCTTGCGCACAAGAAAGAAGAGAGAATCTCTGCAATATTATTGATGAAAAAGTTTAAAAGTTTTAATAATTGAATAGGTTACAGTCCTTTTTATAAGACCTTACCCTAGAAATCCTACTGAAAAAGAAATTCTAAAACATGCCAAAACAAGCGGCATTAAATAAAAGATATTTCCTAATTAATTAAAATAAAAGCCTAATTCTTGTAGACCAAGAATCCTAATAAAGGTAGAAATCAAAATCAAACTGAATACGGAAAGTTAATAATTCTAACCTAAACGAAAATATTCCTACCCAAAATCTTATTCCAAAACAATAAAAATAAAATACAAAAACTCTCCATTTTTGTCCTACATCAAAACCATTGAACTTCAAAAGAACTCGCCCTCGAGTTCTCATTAGAAACTTGCCACCTTCCCTTCCAAAGAAATAGATATTTAGAATACTTAAACTTGCTTGGAACGCTTGTCTTCCAAAAATCATTCAATGAAAAGTATTCATGCAATGATCTTTTCTCTTCATGCTTCAATTTGTTAACAAGATGTACTAGACGAATGCTGGGAACCCAATCAAATTGTTGCACTCCAAGAAAATCGATAAAGTGAGCTTTATGTTTATATTGCAGATTGTCTTGACCTTTAACTAGTTCTGGTCCCTCAAATTTCCATAAAATATGTGGAACTTCATCTCTGCAGTCGGTTTTATAGTCATGAGGGTCAGAACATGCTAGATCAACAATAGGTAATTCATGTTCCTTCAATTCTAAAGCTTCCCCATTATCTTTACCATCTCCATCATCACTAGTCCTTTCTTGACTGACTTCAGTTCTTAGTTCTGTATCAGACTTATTCTCCTCTACCTCATCAACTTGTAGTTGGTCTCCATGTTTTGAAACCCCAAATCCATTGTGAAACAACTGACTAGAACTTGAAAGAACTTTACTCATGTTTTGACCTTCGAAGCTTAACTGAGTCATCAAACTCATTGGCTTGTTTCTTGAACAATTTGTATCAACAGTAACATGGCTATATTGCAAATCAAAATTATCTTGGAACATTTGTTTTGACTCAAACTTCCTCCGATACTCTTCATACAACATCTTTCCATGATTTGTCTGAAGAAATCTCGTGCTCATCAAATTTCTCATCCTGAGCCACGTCCTAATAGGTTGTTTAAATTCTCGTCTTCGGTTGGCTTGCAATTTCTCCCACCATGTGGAAGCGTAGCCATATAATTTACGCGCCACATATCTGACCTCCTTTTCTTCCGGAATACCAGTGTAAAACTCAAAAAAATTGTCGACTTTGCGAAACCAATAAATAAAACTTTCGGCATGGCAGTAACCGTCAAAATAAGGAATATTTTGTTGTACCTCAAAATTTGAATAGTCATGTTTCATGCTATTACGCTCATTGAACTTCAAACGTCGCCGCATGGACCCATATTCATTATAACCATCGACGCCTTCATATTCATCTTCCATTCCAGATTGATGATAAGAATATCCTTCGGAGACGTTTTGGTGAATAGGTTGGTTGCGGGCAAATCCCTCAACGCGGTTCCTATTCTGGTTAGGAGGTTGGCGATGGGCAAATCCCAACGCGCGATCCTTCTCAACCCTTTCTGGCCTTTGGCGATTTTGTAGAGTCAATCCCTGCAACAACTCACGGATCTCTGCGAACTGAGTGCGAGTATCCTGACGGAACTCGGCTAACTGAGTGCTTCGATTCTGCAACTGTATTCGGTTATCCTCCATCATCTTCCTTAGGTCAGCAAGCCCACGACCAACGTCAATGGGTGTGTCTTCTTCTGTGTTTGGTGTCATCGAACCAGGAAAAGCGTGGCTCTGATACCACTTGACGCAGCGGAATTCACGAGAGACTAGTTAGCGT